GAGGTTGCTGTGAGCGAGGCTGACGCCACGGCACTCTAGCCCGGGTGACAGAGCGAGACTCTGTCTCAGAATAAAAACTAAAATAAAATAAATAAAATGTTTATATGCAAACCCTCTATTTCAAAGCCAGGTAAATTTAGGAAGATGGGAGGGTATGGAGCAAATGAATCATATATTGTGACAGTAATGATTTGCATACTCTTTTTCTTTTTCCCTGTGCAATTAAATTGATTGGCTTAGCCCTTTTGAGCTATTGAATAATGGAGTAAATATCTTTGATAATAGAATAGAAGACAAACTCATTTTGTGCCCTTAAAAACTACCAGTTTGAAATGAGGATTAATCACATGTATTTTTTAAAACTTCATTTGGTATATGTCGCATACCAATGAGGGATAAGATTGAGGAGCTATAGGACCATAATTCAAACTGACCCTAATAACACTCTAAAGTGATCAATAATCACGTAAATGAAATGCAAGTTCTTGGCTGTGTGGGGGAGTATCTGAGGCAGGTGAAGGCTCAAAAGAGGAAATGGATGAACAGTATAATATTGTAGTTAAAATGCAAATACAATTCCAAGGTGTGACTGCCACTATTCCAATATCCCACTGCATCTTTTAATTTACCACCTGAAGGTAGCAGTGCCCAAGTAACTGATTTTGGTAATACTCACTAGATGAGTGCTACTGAAAGTGTTCATCTGTAAACTGGTTGTTTCCAGTCGGCAATAACATAAAGAGCTTGAGACAGAGCATAAATCAATTCACTACTCCCTTAGACAAAGTCTAGCAATTAAACAAAAAGAGTCAGCTGAGCTTGTCAGGTGTGCTTAGTAATATAGTTGCTTAATGTTCTGGTGCAAGCTCTTTATCTTGTTGCAAACTTACAAAAGTTTCATGGTGCTCAGACCAAACTCTTGCAGACTGCACTCAGTCATACCATCGCAATGCTTAAAATGTTCCAAACTCTTTGCATGGCATTGAGGTCATGAAGCCAAAATCTTAACTACGGCTTATAAGACCCTACACCATTTGATCTCTTTCTACTCTCCAAACTCATCTCCCCATTCGCCAAGTACTAAACACACTGTCCTTCTGTTCTTTGAATTCTCCAACTCATGTCCAGTGCTTCTCTTCCCTGGACCTCGTACACTGCTCCCATTTCATCACGTGACTTGTTCTTTCTTCTTAGTTAAGTCTCAGCTCAAAGGTACCACCTTTAGAGAAGATTCTCCTAAACACCCAAACTGAATTAGACCTTCCGTGTTATTTACTCTCTATCACCTTCCCTGTTTTATTTTTTTTCATAGCACTTAGCACTCTCTGAAATTATCCTTTCATATGCTTAATTATTTATTGTCAACTTCCCCGTAACCCCCATCAGGAATACAAGATCTAGTTTGCCTTGTTCTCCACTGTATCCCCAAACCCTAGAGCCATAGTTGGTTGCTACAAGTAAATATTTCAATAAATTATGAATGTGTGATTAAGTGAGGGAATGATTTAGTTAGACTGTATATTAGGATATGTTAAACATTGGTACCCTAAACCAACTTTCAAAGGCAGAGCTTAGACTCCCATGCCTCCCTTGCTAGATGAATATTTTGAGGTATTCTATCAGGTAATTTCTGTGGGGTTAATGTTTTTGTACTCTTATGTGAATACTTTATTATGTTATGTCTTTATTTTACTTTAAAATAAGCATAAATTTAAAGCTTTGAAATGTTTTGCCCATTAAAAGATGGGACAAAGATCACAAATTATGTGACAGATCATTGGCCTCTGTGGTCATTTGATTTAAACCAAATGACTGTGTGTTCAAAAATGAAGGAAAAGCAAAATATTTTAAATATTTAATGAACTATTATAGACAATTATATTTATAAACAAAAGAAAAAGTAGCGATTTTGTGATTTTGTTTTCCTTCTTAGCATTTTTTATTTAGTTTATTTAATTTTCATATATATTTTCAATAATAAAAACGCTTAAAAATGGAAGACTGCCTATAACTGTGTTTTTATCTTATTCATGAGATCAAGGTATTTTCTTCTAATAGGATACAGGTAACAGAATCCTCATCTTACTTTCACACCTAAGCCCATCTCTGAATGCTTGAGATATATACATGGAAGCTGTTGAAAGAAAGGAGCTGCACAATGTAGTAGGAAAGAATGCCATAGTTACACAGTATAGCTTTCTAAAAGACATATATGTTCTATAAAATATATTTTCCAGAAGAAATTTGACCCATCCAAAAATTTGAATTTGATAACCATAATTTATAAAAAATATTTTGCATAAGTCATACTGAGAAGCAAATCAAAGACTCAATTCCCTTCACGATAGCAACAAAGAAAATAAAGTATCTAGGAATATATTTAACTAAGGA